ATCAAACCCGAAACCTCAGCGNGGATATCATGTCACATTTATTTGTTTTTATTTTGATTTATTGGTGTGTGTGTTTTGAGAGAGAAAGAAAGAGAAACATCCATTTGTGGTGCCACTTATTTATGCATCGATTGACCTTTGTATGTGCCGTGACCAGGGATCAAACCGGAAACCTCAGCANATTGATTGACCTTTGTATGTGCCGTGACCAGGGATCAAACCCGAAACCTCAGCGTATCGGAAAGATGCTCTACCCACCCCAGCTACCCAGCCAGGGCCAATGTAGGGACAACTTAGCACTTCAGCTTAGAGTCATATGTGGACATGAGCATCGGTCAATCAAGAATGTATCTGTGGCCCTGGCCAGTGTGGCCCAGTTGGTTGCGATTCGTCCCATGCACCAAGAGGTCGCTGGTTCAATTCCTAGTCAGGGCACCNGATTCCTAGTCAGGGCACATGCCCAGGTTGAGGGCTCGATCCGCAATAGGGGGTGTGCAGGAGGCAGCCGATCGATTGCCCAATGTCTCTGTGTCATCGATGTTTCTCTCTCCCTTCCTCTCTCTATAAAAAATATCAATTTTTTTTTTTTAAACAAAGAATGTATTTGTGTCATTTCAGGACTTGGTGACATTCAAGGATGTGGCAATAGACTTTTCCCAGGAGGAATGGGAAGGGCTTAACCCCACNATTTGTGTCATTTCAGGACTTGGTGACATTCAAAGATGTGGCAATAGACTTTTCCCAGGAGGAATGGGAGGGGCTTAACCCCACTCAGAAGAGTTTATACAGGAGCATGATGTTGGAGAACTATCAGGGCCTGACATCCCTGGGTGAGGACCTTTCCCCGTGCATAATTCAGAATCTATCCGTAGGGACTCTTTACATTTTTATTAAAACTTTTTTTATTCTGTAGGTCAGAAGAGATTCAGGAAATAAAAGAGGGTATTTAGGGATTAATGGAAATTTCAGATTTCGTCAGTGAATTTGATATCTATCCAATATTCTATGGTATGCTTTTTAAGTGGTTGGAACATAGGCCACCATGTGACTCTTACTGGTCTCCTGTGTTCCCTTGTTATCANGTAGGGACTCTTTACATTTTTATTAAAACTTTTTTTATTCTGTAGGTCAGAAGAGATTCAGGAAATAAAAGAGGGTATTTAGGGATTAATGGAAATTTCAGATTTCGTCAGTGAATTTGATATCTATCCAATATTCTATGGTATGCTTTTTAAGTGGTTGGAACATAGGCCACCATGTGACTCTTACTGGTCTCCTGTGTTCCCTGTGTTCCCTGTGTTCCCAGTAGGCAGTAACAAGGTTCACCAAGAATATAGCTGGATGACTATAAATTCAGAATACTGATTTTAAAATTTGTATCTTTTTATTAATATGCAATAAGTGAACCACTTAAGCACAAACTATGAACGTGGCTCCAGCTTTTATCAGGGAAACTAACATGGACCCCCCTTCTCAGCTGCGGGACCATCTCCTTGGGTAGATTAGTTTTCTGTCCTCTAGAAGCTCCTCCTATTCTGCATATGGTTCACTGCGCTTCTGGAACTAAATTTATGTCTTTCATTAAAGTTGAGAAATTTGTGGCCATTATATTTTTGAGTATTTTTTCAACTCTCTCTCTCCACTTCTTCTGGGATTTTGATTTCAAATATGTTTGATATTGGGCCCAAGGAGCTAAAAATCTGTTTACTTTTTAAAATCTTTTTCTCTATTTTTAAAATTAGATAATTTCTCTAATAGTCAGGTTCACTGACTATTTTCCTGTCGTCTTTAATATCTTGTTAAGCCCATCTAGTTAATTTTAAAACTCCAGATACTGCACTTTTTAATTCTAAACTTTCCATTTGGTTCTTTTTTATAATTTCTCTTTACCTGCTGAGACATTACAACTGTGTGGTTTTTATATTATTAGATATAGATACAATAGCTGTTTTAAAATCCTGGTCTGCTAATTCCAACATCTGTATTATCACAGGTTGGGATCTCCACTTATTGCCTTTTCTTCTGAGTATGATTCACTTTTCTCTCTTTCTTCTACTGTCTAGTAATTTGAGTTTTATCCTGGACACTATAAATAATATATTGTAGAGCCCTGAGATTCTGTTATATACAGAATACATATATATACACATATATATATACACACACACATATATATATATATTTTGGCCTGGCCAGCGTGGCTCAGTGGTTGAGTGTCAACCCAGAAACCAGGAGATCGCAGTTCCATTCCCGGTCAGGGCACATGCCTGGGTTGCTGGCTCAATCCCCAGCAGGGGGCGTGCAGGAGGCAGCTGGTCAACGACTCTCTCATCATTGATGTTTCTCTCTCTGCCCCCCCTCTCTGATNGATTCCCCCTCAGGGCACATGCCTGGGTTGCTGGCTCAATCCCCAGCAGGGGGCGTGCAGGAGGCAGCTGGTCAACAACTCTCTCATCATTGATGTTTCTCTCTCTGCCCCCCCTCTCTGATATCAATAAAAACATATTTAAAAACATGTACATTTTTTGTCGACTTAATAGAGAGAGAGGACGGGAGAGGGAGAAACAGAAACATTAATGTGAGCGCTGAAAATCAATTGGCTGATGGCAGTCCAACTAGACTATGGCATAAACTTTATGTAGTATGTCCTAAAAATGTGCTGTACTTCTTGATGTAATCATTCCTAGTATGTTATTCCGTCAGTAGTAAGGAACTGGCGTATAGTCTGAAATACCCAAAACATGGCCAATTTTTATGTCTTTTTTTTGCACGCAGGACTTTGCATCTCTAAGCCCTATGTAATCTCCTTACTGGAGCAAGGGAAGGAGCCTTGGGAGGTCAAGAGTGAGAGGACAAGAAGCCCATTTCCAGGTGAGTGCAGGAGAACCAGGTAGGGGAATCCTGTCTAGGTAATGGCTCAGCCACTCTCCAAGGTCACACAGCTTCACTTATGCCCCTTAGAAGTCTTCTCAGGCCTTCCAGGCCCTGGGGGAATGACTGAAATGTTACCACTTAGCATGGGCTTTCCAAATATCTTTTCTTCTTGACTCTCCTCTCTAATAACTCATTTAAAAAAAAAATCTTTATCCAGCTCCTTTCTATCGCCTCTTTCCTTTTGCCATTCAGACATATGTAAACAACTTGGTTCCTTAAATATTTCTTAATTCAAAATTAGGTGCTGCTTGNCCAAATATCTTTTCTTCTTGACTCTCCTCTCTAATAACTCATTTAAAAAAGAATCTTGACCCAGCTTCTTTCTATTGCCTCTTTCCTTTTGCCATACAGACATATGTAAACAACTTTGTTCCTTAAATACTTCTTAATTCAAAATTAGGTGCTGCTTCCAGTTATTCTCTGCTGCTTTCAACCTCTCATTGGTTTCCTGTTATCTCAGCCCCTGTGTGATCAGTGATTTTCTTCTTCTCCAACCTTACCCTTGTCACGAGGTCACGAGGGTGGTCTCTGGGGCGGGAAGGTGGGCAGCGCTCGCCTGGAGATGACCAGCGACCGGCACAAAGGAGCTCCCCGGGGAAACAGTGCGAGCCAAATGAATGATACTGGTTTTTAAATTCAGGTCACCTGCAGAATTGCCATGGAAATAAAATCACCCGTAATCCGGCCGCTGGTAACGTTTTGGTCAACGTATCTGTATACAGAGCTGTTCTTTCTATCAAAATGAGATTATACTATATTTCTTTACATATATATGTATTTTTCGAATTTAACATTATGGGTTACTTTAGATGTCAATAGTTCCACGTAATTATTAGAAGAAAAAAGATTGCTCAGACCCGGGACCTGCGAGTACGCGGCGGCCGCCTTCGCAGGGTGCGGCGGGCGGGAGGAGGGGCCCCCTGGGGGCAGGGGTGCGCTCCGGGCACCCGAAGTCACACTCACACCCCACTGGAGTCGCAGCCTGGTCCCTGGCGTGGCCCAGAGCTGCTGTCCCCACTCTGTTGACCGTGACGCCCCGCGGGAGGTGAGCGCGGAGGCCTGCGGCGCCCGGTCCCCC